CCTGAGACCATGGTCCCCAGCCCTCAGCCCAGTAATTCAGTCCCTCAGGGAGTTTGGATGTGTCTATGAAGCTTCCGTAACCTTGCCTTGGTCAAGTTGTGCTGACTCCCCCAGTATGGTGTACTGTCTTACACTTCACCAAAGTTACCACTTATCTATTGTCTAGTTGGAGCCCTGGTTAAGAGCTTGGCTGCTAACCAAAAGATTAACAGTTCAAATCCAACAGCCACTCCCTGGAAGCCCTATGGGGCAGTTCTACTCCGTCCAATAAGATCACTATTAGTCAGAATCGACTTGACCGCAATGGGTTTGTATTGTCTAGTTAGTGTTTTCCCCTCCCCTCCCCTCCTCTTCCCTCTCCTTCTCTCCCCTCCCTAGTAATCATCAAAGATTGTTTCTTTCTTTGTGTAAACCTTTTCATGAATTTTTATAATAGTGGTTTCATACAGTATGTGTCCTTTTGCAATAGATTTATGTCACTCAGCCTGATGCCCTCCAGATTCGTCCATGTTGTGAGATGTTTAACAGATTCATCATTGTTCTTTATTGTTGCATAGTATTCCATTGAGTGTATGTACCATAGTTTGTTTATCCATTCATCTGTTTATAGGAACTTAAGTTGTTTCCATCTTTTTGCTGTTGTGAATAATACTACAATGAACATGGGTGTGCATATGTCTATTCGTATGACAGCTCTTATTTCTCTAGGATATATTCCTAGGAGTGGGATTGCTGGATCATATGGTATTTCTATTTCTAGGTTTTTAAGGAAGCGCCATATTGTTTCCCAAAATGGTTGTACCATTTTGCATTCCCATCAGCAGTGCATAAGAGTTCCAAGCTCCCCGCAACCTCTCCAACATTTATTATTTTCTGTTTTTTTGATTCATGCCAGTAATGCCGGGGTGAGATGGTATCTCATTGTGGTTTTGATTTGTATTTCTCTAATGGCTGTGATCTCGGGAATCCTCATATGTCTGTTAGCTGCCTGCACGTCTTCTTTGGTGAAGTGTCTGTTCATATCCTTTGCCCATTTTTTAATTGACTTATTTGTCTTTTTGTTGTAGAGGTGTTGGATTTGGATTTTCCTATAGATTTTAGAGATTAGAACTTTGTCAGATTTGTCATAGCCAAAATTTTTGTCCTAGTCTGTAAGCTCTCTTTTTACTCTTTTGTTGAAGTCTTTTGATGAGCGTGTTTAATTTTTAGAAGATCACAGTTATCTAGCTTATCTTCTGGTGTTCGTGTATTGTTAGTTTTGTTTGTACACTATTTATGCCATGTATTAGGGCCTCTAGCATTGACCCTATCTTTTCTTCTATGATCTTTATAGTTTTTGGTTTTATATTTAGGTCTTTGATCCATTTTGAATTAGTTTTTGTGTATGGTGTGAAGTATGGGTCCTGTTTCATTTTTTTACAGATGGACATCCAGTTTTGCGAGCACCATTGGTTAAAAAAAAGACTGTCTTTTCCCCCATTTTATGGATTTTGGGCCTTTGTCAAAGATCAGGTGACCGTAGGTGGATGGATTTACATCTGGGTTTTCGATTCTGTTCAGCTGGTCAATGTGTCTGTCGTTGCACCAATACCAGTCTGTTTTGACTACCGTAGCTGTATAGTAGGTTCTGAGGTCAGGTTGTGCGAGTCCTCCTACTTTATTCCTTTTCTTCAATAGTGCTTTACATATCTGGGGGCCTCTTTCCTTTCAATGTAAATTTTATAATTAGTTTTTGAAGGCTGTAGTCTTTGATCATCATCAGTAAGTGCTTGAAGTCCTCTTTGCTTTCAGCAAGCAAAGTTGTGTCATCTGCATATAGAAGGTTGTAAACGAGTCTTCCTCCAATCCTGATGCCACATTCTTCTTCATACAATCTAGCTTCTTGAAATATTTGCTCAGCATACAGACTGAATAAGTATGGTGAAAGGATATAACCCTGACGGACACCTTTCCTGATTTTAAACCATGCAGTATCCTCTTGTTCTGTTTGAACCACTGCCTCTTGATCTATGTACAGGTTCTTCATGAGCACAATTGTTGTTGAACTCCCACTCTTCTAAATGTTATCCATAATGTGTTATGACCCACACAGTCCAATGCCTTTGCTAAGTCAATAAAACACAAGTAAACATTTTTCTAGTATTCTCTGCTTTCAGCCAAGATCCATCTGAATCAGCCATGATATCCCTCATATCGTGTCCTCTTCTGAATCAGGCCTGAATTTCTGGCAGTTCCCTGTTGATGTACTGCTGCAACCATCTTTGAATGATCTTCAGCAAAATTTTACTTGCATGTAATATTAATGATATTGTTTGAAAATTTCCACATTCTGTTTGATCACCTTTCTTTAAAATGGGCACAGATATGGGTCTTTTCCAGTCGGTTGTCCAGATAGCTGTCTTCCAAATTTCTTGGCACCTCCAGCGCTGCATCCATTTGTTGAAACATCTCAGTTGGTATTCTGTCAATTCCTGGAGCCTTGTTTTTCGCCAATGCCTTCAGTACAGCTTGGATTCCTTCCTTCAGTACCACGGGTTCTTGATCATATGCTACCTCCTGAAATGGTTGAATGTTGATCAGTTCTTTTTGGTACAGTGACTCTGTGTATTCCTTCCATCTTCTTTTGATGGTTCCTATGTCATTTAATATTTTCCCAGTAGAATTCTTCAATATTGCAACTTGAGGCTTGAATTTTTTTTCTTCAGTTCTTTCAGCTTGAGAAATGCCGAGTGTGTTCTTCCCTTTTGGTTTTCTAACTCCAGGTATTTGCACATGTCATTGTAAAACTTTACTTTGTCTTCTCAAGCCTCCCTTTGAAATCTTCTGTTCAGTTCTTCATCATTTCTTCCATTTGCTTAGCTGCTCTTCATTGAAGAGCAAGTTTCAGTGTCTCTTCTGACATCCATTTTGGTCTTTTCTTTCTTTCCTGTCTTTTTAATAACCTTTTTCTTTCTTCATGTATGATGTCCTTGAAGTCATCCCACAACTTGTCCGGTCTTCGGTCATTAGTGTTCAATGTGTCAAATCTATTCTTGAGATGGTCTCTAAATTCAGGTGGGATATACTCAAGGTGGTACTTTGGCTCTTGTGGACTTGTTCTTATTTTCTTCAGCTTCAACTTGAACTTGCATATTAGCAATTGATGGTCTGTTCTGCAGTGAGCCCCGGCCTTATTCTGACTAATGATAAAGAGCTTCTCCATTGTTTCTTTCCACAGATGTAGTCGATTTGATTCCTGTGTATTCCATCTGACGTGGTCCACATGTATAGTTGCCTTTTAAGTTGCTGAAAAAAGGTATTTGCAAAGAATAAGTCTTTGGTTTTGCAAAATTCTATTACCTGAGCTCTGTTGTCTTTTCTATCACCTAAGCTATGTTTTCCAACTACTAATCCTTCTTCTCTGTTTCCAACTTTTGCATTCTAATCACCAGTAATTATCAATACATCTTGATTGCATGTTTGATTAATTTCAGACTGCAGAAGTTAGTAAAAATCTTCAATTCCTTCAACTTTGACATTAGTGGTTAGTGCGTAAATTTGAATAATAATCATATTAATTGGTCTTCCTTGTAGGCAAATGGATATTACCCTATCACAGACAGCATTGTACTTCAGGACAGATCTTGAAATATTCATTTTAATGTTGAATTCAACACTATTCCATATGATTGTCCAATTCAAAATGGCCAATGTCAGTCCATTTCAGCTCACTAATACCTAGGCTATTGATCTTAATGTGTTCCATTTCATTTTTGATGACTTCCGATTTTCTTAGATTCATACTTTGTACATTCCATGTTCTGATTTTTAATGGAAGTTTGCAGCTGTTTCTCCTCATTTTGAGTCATGCCACATGAGCAAATGAAGGCCCTGAAAACTTTAGTCCATCCATGTCATTAAGGTCATCTCTACTTTGAGGTGGCAGGACTTCACCTGTACAGTATTTTGAGTGCCTTCCAACCTGAGGGGTTCATCTTCTGACACTATAACAACAATATTCCCCTGGTATTCATAAGGTTTTCACTGGCTCATTTTTTCAGAAGTAGACCATCAGGTCCTTCTTCCTAGTCTATCTTAGTCTGGAAGCTCCTCTGAAACCTGTCCACCATAGGTGACCCTGTTTGAAATACTGGTGGCATACCTTCCAGCATCACAGCAACACACAAGCCACCACAGTACGAGAAACTGACCGACGAGTGGTGGCTTTGTACCTAGGCTTCAGGGGATTGACGTTGAGTTGAATCAGTCTTTACTTGAGTCTCATGATAACTCTACAAGATATTCAGCACACATAGTGAGATTCTCAGTTTACTTATAAAAACCTACATACGGAAATTACGCAACTTGTCCAAGATTCCATAGATAGTAAAAGAAAAAAAAAAAAAACAAGGATTCAAACTGGTATATTTTTAGTCTGTTAATCAGTCTGTGAAGGCGTATGGGCGGTTACAGATTTACCTCCATTTCACAGACTGGGTGTTTTCTCAGTTTTTGAAAATTAAGGGGATGGCCATTCTCTCTAGGTTAAACCATATATAAATAAGTAGTTCTAAGGACTGGACCACACTACCTCTGGTTTTCTTTAGCTATAAAATGGTAATAATACCCACCTACCCACTGTATAAGGAGCTCTGATGGCTCAGCAGTTAAGCGCTTGGCTGCTAGTTGAAAGGCTGGAGATTCAAATCCACACAGATGCTCCTTGGAAGAGAGGCCTGGCAATCTATTTCCAAAAAACCAGCCATTGAAAATCCTATGGAGAACAATTCTACTGTGACACACATGGGGTCACTGTGAGTCGGAACTGACTCGACAGCAACTGCTTTACCCATAGTATGTACTTTACTGTGGAAATCTAATGTAAATTACAAATGCTTTAACAGGGTAAAAGGAGCTATAAAACTGATTATTCGTAGTATTACTATTTAACAATGCTGTCTAATTCATGTTAAAACAGTTTGATTTTTTTCTGTGATGGTTCAGAAAACAAAAGATCATACCTGTTCCTTTTGGGGTAGCTTTGGCAGGTTAGATGGTCTGGAAGTTCTTGGGGCATCAGCCTTACTCTTCTTAACCAGGAGAGCCCGCTTGGAATTTCTCGTATCGGTCTGCTCATAATCACCAAGATGCCAGGCAATAAAACCACGACCAAATTTTCCTTGCATATCCAGAATATAAGGTTTGGGTTGCCTGAAATAGAAATAATTGGTGAGTTCTTGAATTGTAAAGGCTTAGAAACAAGGCCAGGCGTTTTCAGATACTTGATTCACTTGTGATTGGAGCTGATTTCTCACCATGTGGCTTGGGAAAGCTAAGAACCTGACCCATCAGCCAGCGTGCTGAGAAGGTTGTAGACTCTCTCCACTCCACTCTGCTGGACGTCCAGCTGCTGGAGATGCAGGGAAATACCCACCTCTCCCCGACCAGACACTTATCTAGGAACCTAGTTCCTGGATGCACCTGTGTATGCTGCCGTTTTCAAACCAGCCATGCACCTTGGGGAGTTGAAGGTGGCATGTTAAGGCTGAGACCTCATGAGACTCATGCGTTATCCTGGAGGACACGACCTGCCCATTTTGAAATCCCGTGGGTATTTAGGAAAACACCAGCTTTGTGATTCCAGACTCCGGCTTTGGACAGTGTGCTAGAAGAAAGATCTAAGCTCCATCCTCTTTCCTCAGTGAGGTCCTTGGGTAGATTCCAACAACCCTAAATTAGAACATTATTTGAGCCCTTCTTTCTGATTATAAAGGACCAGCTCTGGAAAACTGATAGAAAAAGTTTTTGTTTGTTTTTTAGATTTTTTTTCTTTTATTGTGTTTTAGATGGATGTTTACAGAGCAAATTAGTTGCTCATTAAACAATTAATACACATATTGTTTTGTGACATCGGTTGCCAACCCCACGACATACCAACACTCTCCCCTTCTTGACCTTGGGTTCCCCATTACCAGCTTTCCTGTCCCCTCCTGCCTTCTCATCCTTGCCCCTGAGCTGATGTGTCCATTTAGTCTCATTTTGTTTTATGGGCCTGTCTAATCTTTGGCTGAAGGAGGAACCTCAAGAGTGACTTCAGTACTGAGTTAAAAGGATGTCCAGGAGCCATAGTCTCTGGGTTTCTCCAGTCTCTGTCAGACAAGCTTTTTTTTTTTTTTTTTTTTTTTGGTGAGTTAGAATTTTGTTCTACATTGATAGAAGAATTTGAAGGTTAAGGATTTGCCGTTTCGTTTTGAAAGCTGTTGTCTGTCTAGAAAGCGTCTTGGAGCTGCTTACCCCACCATGACTCAAACTGGGCTGCAGAAGCCCTTGGCAAAAGCAAAGTTCCCTTCCTAGAATCTGAATTTCACGGGTTCCCAAGTTCTTTGGACCAAGATTTGTGGCAGGTCTGCACCGCACTTCACTCATTCAAGAACCTTCCAGCACTTACAATATGCCAGACACTGTACAAGGCCCTGAGGAGACCGCGGTAAGAAGACAAAGTCCCTGTTACCATAGCGCTTATATACCACTGGGAGAGACCGACAGCAAACAAGTAAAATATCCAGGAAGAAAAATAAACCCAGATAAGAAGTAGGAAATGTCAGGGATGCTATTTTTGTGAGGGTAGGCGGGAGGGGAGGAGGTAATGTTTGAGCAAAGAGCTAAATAGAAGCGAGGGAGTCAGCAATCCTGGTCGTGCACAGAGGTCAGACACTCCCTGCCCACTCCTGAGCATCACAGACTGCGGGTGCTGGGAGAGAGCGCACCGAGTCACTCACCCGCGCACCCTCCGCTGGCTTCCCATAGCCCTGCAATAACATGCAAACTCCTCGGCACAGCATACAGGAGTGTTTGAGGTTGCTGTCTGCTTTTTGCCCATTTTTTCTTCTATTAAATGTTCTGATGACTGTGAGCCTTCCTGGTGTGTTCTTGCCCGCCCTGCGGACGCGCACACAGTGCCTCTGTGCGCTCTCAATCCTCCCCTTTCTCTCTGTTAGCTCTGAAGACGCTGCGCTCTCAGATCTTTAGCTCTTTCTTCTGCTTGCAGTCCCCTCCCCTCCTCCTTTCCTGGCAAGCTGCAACCTGGGTCATGCTTTATACAGCAACTTCTCCGTGAATACTTCCCTTATGCCTGTCAGGCAGCAGTTTTTCTCCTTCATAGTACTTTGTATATGACTTATTTTGGAAACGATTAGAATATAGGAGCCCTGGTGGTGCAGTGTTTAAGCACTCGGCTGGTAACCAAAAGGTCTGCCGTTTGAACCCAGCAGCTGCTCCCGGAGAAAGATGTGGCGGTCTGCTTCCTTAAAGATTGCAGCCTTGGAAACCCTATGAGGCAGTTCTACTCTAAAGAGTTAATATGCGTCGGAATCGACTTGATGGCAATGGGTTTTGTTGTTGTTGTTGGGATATACTTAAATTTCTAGCTCACCCTCCCGCGAGACTCCGAGTTCCTTAAAGGGCACAGAATGTGTCTCATTCAGCATTGGGTCTTCAATACCCATTACGCTCTCGGTGTTGTTGTTAGTTGCTGTCAAGTCGATTTCTGACTCATGGTGACCCCATGTGTGCAGAGTAGAACTGCTCCACAGGGTTCTTAAGGCTGTGGCATTTTGGAAGCAGATCGCCAGCCCTGTCTTCCAAGGCACCTCTGGGTCTGTTTGAACCACCAACCTTTCAGCTAGCAGTCGAGCACTTAACCGTTCGTGCCACCCAGGGATATTTCCTACCTAACTAATCTTTGATGAATGGTGTAATTAGAGAGGGAAGGAGCAGATCAGAACTGGATTACTTTAAAGGGTTTCTACTTTTCTTCCCTCCTATTCCCCTCCACCCCTTCAATCACCTCATATGCATGCAAAAGCTGAACCATGAATAAGGAAGACCGAAGAAGAATTGATGCCTTTGAATTGTGGTGTTGGTGAAGAATATTGTGTATCAACAGGGAACTGCCAGAAATTCAAGCTGGATTCAGAAAAGGACGTGGAACCAGGGATATCAATGCTGATGTCAGATGTATCCTGGCTGAAAGCAGAGAATACCAGAAAGATGTTTACCTGTGTTTTATTGGATATGCAACGACATTCGACTGTGTGGCTCGTAACGAATTATGGATAATGTAGCAAAGAATGGGAATTCCAGAACCCTTAATTGTGCTCATGAGAAACCTGTGCATGGATCAAGAAGCAGTCGTTTGAAAAGAACAAGGGGAGACTGCGTGGTTTACAGTCAGGAAGTGTGTGTGTCAGGCTTGTATCCTTTCACGATGCTTCTTCAATCTGTATGCTGAGCAAATAATCTGAGAAGCTGGACTATAGGAAGAAGAATGCAGCATCAGCATTGGAGGAAGACTCATTAACAACCTGCATTATACAGATGATACAACCTTGTTTGCTGAAAGTGAAGAGGACTTGAAGCACTTACTCATGAAGATCAAAGACCACAGCCCTCAGTATGGATTACACCTCAACATAAAGAAAACAAAAATCCTCACAACTGGACCAATAAGCAACATCTTGATAAACAGAGAAAAGATTGAAGTCATCAAGGATTTCATTTTACTTGGATCCATGATCAACACCCATGGAAGCAGCAGCAAGAAAATCAAAAGATGCGTTGGCATTGGGGAAATCTGCTGCAAAGGACCTCTTTAAAGTGTTAAAAAGCAAGGAGGTAACCTTGAAGACTAAGGTGCGCCTGACCCAAGCCATGGTGTTTTCAATCACCTCATATGCATGCAAAAGCTGGACCATGAATAAGGAAGACAGAAGAAGAATTGATGCCTTTGAATTGTGGTGTTGGTGAAGAATATTGAATATACCATGCACTGCCAGAAGAATGAACAAATCTGTCTTGGAAGAAGTACAACCAGAATGCTCCTTAGAAGCAAGGATGGTGAGACTATGTCTCACATACCTTGGACATGTTATCAGGAGGGACCAACCAGTCCCTGGAGAAGGACATCATGCTTGGTAAAGTGGAGGGTCAGTGAAAAAGAGGAAGACCCTCAGAGAGATGGATTGCACAGTGGCTGCAACAATGGGCTCAAGCATAACAATAATTGTGAGGATGGTGCAGGACTGGACAGTGTTTCATTCTGTGGTACATAGGGTCGCTATGAGTCAGAACTGACTTGATGGCACCTAACAACATCAACTCTGGAGATTTGAACACACTATGTTGACCTTACAACTGATTTACGAAGTCCAAATAGGTAAACCAAGGAGCAGAAAGTGTGGATCTAGATGGAACACAATTGGGCGATCCTTAGTGGTTCAGTGTTAGTGACACACACACAACCAAACTAAACAACAACAAAAAATTCTTATGTAACATTCTTACTACTTAATTCCTAAGTGTATCCATAAGAGTCAGATATTTCTTTTTTCTTTTCTTTTTTTGAAACGATCTCAAGCTTATAGAAAAGTAGAAGCACAGTACAAAAACCTCTTTTCCTGAGCCATTTGAAAGCATGTTGTTGACATGCTGCCCATCACCAAATAATTTAGTGTGTAATTCCTACAAGCAAAGACATTCTATATAACCTCAGTACAACCATCAAAATCAACAGATATCAGAAAATTCACGTTTTTACATTACTAGCTTCTAAACCTCCTCGGTCGCCATTAAAGTTTTTGCCCATTATTGTCCCAATAACATTTGTTTTGCAAAAAAAATCCAGTTCAGAGAATCACACATTGGATTTAGTCTCTTCAGTCTCCTTCCATCTGGAACAGCTTCTCAGTCTTCTCGTTACTTGCATACACTTGATAATTTAGAATAATACAGGTCAGTTATTCTGCAGATGTCCTTCATGAAAATTTACCCGTGTTTCCTTCGAAGAATTTTATAGTTTTAACTCTTATATCTTGATCTCTGATCCAGTTTGAGTTAGTTTTTGTTTAGGTGTGAGGAAAGGTTCAACTTTGGTCTTTTGCGTGTGGATAACCAGTTGTCACAGCACCATTTGTTGGAAAGACTATTTTTCCTTATTGAATTCCCTTAGCACCCATGTGAAAAATCAGTTGGCCATAAATATGACACTTTGTTTCTGGACACTCAATTCTATTCCATTGATCTGTATGTATCCCCTTATGCCAGTACCACATTGTTTTGATGACTATCACTTTGTAGTAAGTTTTGAAATAAAAAAGTGTGAGTCCTCCAACTTTGTTCCTTTTTAAGATTGTTTTGGCTCTTCTGGGTCCCTT